GGATGTAGCACACCAGAAACTGGGAGCTGTGTCAGTAACGAAAGTATGATTAATCTTTGTAACGAAGAATTCTGTAGCTCAGAAGAACAACTTCAAAATGAATGTTTTAGAACTATTGGATGTAGTGAGAAATCATTGGAATGTGATGTTCAGGTCTTGGGTGCTGAGCATAAGTTGAATCAAAGGATTGACTGGACTGATCAAAATAAGTTATCTGAAGAAGCTGATAGTTCTTCTCCAAGAATAAAACATTTTAAAAGCAGAAGCTTTAGCAGTGAAGTAGACAACTTTAAGGCAGGTAAATGTCCTGAACTGGAGAATACTGTGAACTGTAAGCCAACTGTTGATGTTCTGGTGGAAGTTAAAAAGAAAACTGTGCCACTTGAATTTTCCATGAAGGTTTTAGTGGAAAAGGTAAAAAAGGTAATAGAGCAACAACAGAAAAGTACAGAAACACAAAATTACAGAAGATTTAAAGCAAAAATTAGTCCTGGAGAAAATAAAGTAGCAGAAGATGAATTGAGAAAAGAGATCAGGTATTTTCACCTTCTTAATATACTGTATTCATCAATTAATAGAAATAGTTTAGGGAAAATATAAGACCTCTTGCGGGATTGGGAGGAGGCTTACATCTACCTGTTTTGGATATGTCCTTTATTTAACTTATGCCATTAAAATGTCCATTTGACAAGTTATTTTACCTGACAGAGCAGCTATTCAAACTAAATGCAAGCAGAATGTGGAAAAAGACACTAAAAAAGGCCACAAACATCCTAAATTTGGCTTAGTTCAGACTTGTAATTTGCTGTGTAGTCAGAGAAATGTTGAATTTCTTGACAGGTAACTCTGAAAAGACTGGATAACTCATATATCTCCCCCTTGTGAATTTGAAATTGGGGGAGACATGGCTGTGAATATAAGTTACATTCAGGTGGTCACTGGACAATAAAAGTCTATGATTTGTTAATTTTGAATTAAAAAAAAAATGTTAGGAAAGCATAGTAATTGCAAAAAAAGAAGACCAACGTCAGCTTACTTCAAAACTGTGATTCTGCCTTCGGTGTTATTTACTTGGACTATTGCCATACCGCCCATTTCTAATTTTATTATCATCAGTAGCTGTACTTAAAGTGAGAGAATCCTGAGCAAGTCGTGTCTTAATAAGATTGTGTTCTGCCAGAAATGGCCTCATCAGTCAGTGGCATATTCCAGATAACTGTACTTCTTCACATTCATAGCCTGCTTAAATGAGATTTTTCTTTCTTTTATATAAAGTGTGTTCTGCAGAGAGAAAAAGCTGTTTTTAAGTTTTACAGTCTAACATGATAGCTGATGACATGTAACTTACCTGTTTGTATTTTCTATATACAGTAAAGAAATGTTTGCAAAAATGGAAATCATTGGCCAGTTCAATTTAGGGTTTATTATAGCAAAGTTGAATTCTGATCTTTTCATAATTGACCAGCATGCTACTGATGAGAAGTACAACTTTGAGATGTTACAACAGCACACTGTTCTTCAAGGTCAGAAGCTGATAGTGTGAGTATTTTCAGTGTTTTAACAATAATAATTTTTAAAGTTTAATTCAAGGTTTCAGAAGGACATTTATGGTTATATTTATGTAGCACATGCAAAACACTGAATGTGAAAGTTATTTTTTATAGTCTCTATTTCAAAGAGTCAATCTTCACATGAGAAATAAATTCCACTTACCCAGTTGTAGCTGTGCAGCAAATCAGTGGTCAGACAGATTTCATGATGGGCTTACATAGAAACCCACAGTTTGGTAAGGATGCTGATACAGTGTGGATGTTGGAGCTGCTGTTGCAACAGGGAGTGCTGCCCAACCAGCCTAACTCTGCTGAGTACTACTTAAAAGTGATCTGTTCAGTAGTGAGATCTTTTTAACAAAGCAAAGTGAAATGTTTTGGTAGAGAGCTCTGTACTGATAGCTCTAGATTGCTTCTGAAACCTGTCTTAAGTAATCGGCACTATGTAGTGATGCACTACCATGTATTTCTCTCTTTCAGGCCTCAAAATCTCAATCTAACGGCTGTAAATGAAAACATACTGATTGAAAACCTGGAAATATTCAGAAAAAATGGGTTTGATTTTATTATAAATGAAAATGGTGAGTTTGGGCCAGAATTGCTGAAGGTAAAAAAGATGAACAGTTTCATGTCATTATGCAAAAGTCCCTTTAGGTCATTGTCAGAAACTTTGAAATAATATGTATTACACTCTATGGTTTGGTTTTTAAGATTTATGATTCTGTGGTCTCTTTGCTCTGTTTAACAGAGCATTGTAGAGTATTTATCTCTCCAGCTTTTTACAGAAGTTTCTGAAGGCCCTTTGGAGTTAACAGGATGTGTTATGTTAAAATCCTTTTGTTTTACTAGTACACTTGCTGGTTCCAGCAGGGTTCCATCTATTTATATATTAATAAATCTATATTAATAAATTTAATATAATAAACTTACTAATTTAATTTTAAATTAATAAATACCATTGGTAAGTGATGCTCTTGGGTTTTCCTTATGGATTTGGCATTGACTTACTATGTACTTCTGAGCAATTTGTGTAACTTGCAAGCTCCTTTTCTTTATCCAGCAAGGATCACCAAAGTGCAGTGTTTCTGTTGTCCCCTTCACCCAGAGTGCAGAGACGGAGATACTTGTTTATTCAGTGTCTGAGCAGAGATGGGTGTTAGGTGGTAACACAGTCTGCCAGCTATCCACTTTTACACATTTAAAACAGTGAAAATAAGTGTTTTCCCTATAGGTAACAGTCTTGTATCTACAATCATTGTCTCTTACAGTCTCCCGTCTCTGTTTCTATAGTATATCTCTATGTTTTATGCAGTATGTATTAATTTCACTATGCATGTTCTTTGAGTAAGGGTCTCTGTGGACAAGTGTCTCTTATCTCAGGGGGTGTGATTTTTTTTTTTAGTGTTAAAGTGAACAAAGTCCCCTTAGGAACACATTTACCTACTGTTTTGCTGAGCTCTTCAAAATTACTTCTACATTCCTCATCTTTCTGAAGTTAGTTGTTACTCTTCTGATCCAGATGATTCATTTATCAGTCTCCTACTTCTCCTCAAGGTCTGTGAACTTGTAATGAAGCACTGTTTTTCTTTGCTCCATGCAGTTCTGCACTCAAGATTTTTCAAGTTTTTGTACATACAGTCCTTCACAAAATCTTAACTTCTTCATTGCCACTTTGGTATTTGGGAAGTCACTACAGATTTCTTCCATACTCTTTATTCCAGAATCTCAATTTTTTAATCTAAAATGCTGTTCATTATTAATCTGTTATCAACAAAAATCCTTAATTATTTTGTAGTCACATAACCTCAAACTAGTTCCATAAATGTTTTGTTCTTTGAAATCAGAGGGTTTGTTAGAGATTGGATCTATCTGCTTTTAAGTCTGCAAGCAATTTATTTCTTAATGTTAAAAGGATATCTGCCATAGTTACCATTTTGGTTAGTTAGCAACAGCCATCAAAAGATTAAACCTCATCATATATGCAGATCACATCATATCTATGTATCTAAGTAGTTTTTCAATCAAGAAGAAGTAATTTCCTGTAGTGCTCTGTTTGTTTCTTTATTAATTACTGCAAATCTTTCAGCTCCCGTAACTCGAAGAGTTAAATTAATATCGTTGCCAACGAGCAAAAACTGGACTTTTGGTCCACAAGACATAGATGAGTTGATCTTCATGTTAAGTGACTGCCCTGGAGTCATGTGTAGGCCCTCTAGGATCAGGCAGATGTTTGCTTCTCGAGCTTGCAGAAAGTCTGTAAGTACTGCACCTGATGGCTGTTTTCAAGTAAATACTGTCTTTTCTGTTGTATTATAGCTGTCTGTATCTGTATATGTATGTGTAATGCAAGGGGAAGTTTATTTGCTGTTGAGTGTCAACAGCTAACAGCCTCCATTTTGTTCCATATGTTTTTGTCTAGTGTAACTTGGGAAAAACTTCTGGTAGTTTTTCATATGTTTCAAACTAGTGAACTTAGAAACAAACTTAGCTGTATTTGTACTTGATCATCTTGTAGTTCTTTTAATACCTTGCACAGTACTTATTTACTATAGTAGCTGAAGAACTGCTCTTACCTGTGTCAGTTTTCTGTATGGAGGAAGAAAATAATAGGTTTGGTTTGTTTTGTCTTTACTTGCAGGTGATGATTGGAACTGCACTGAATGTGCAGGAAATGAGAAAACTGATCACCCATATGGGTGAGATTGAGCATCCCTGGAACTGCCCCCATGGAAGGCCTACTATGAGACACATAGTCAGTTTAGACTTGATTTCAACAGAATAAGTCAGTTTGATTTTAATTCTTGGTGACATGTTGAGCTTTTACCATAACTCTTATTTTGAGTAAAAAATTTTAGTCAGCCTTCACATTTGAAGGCAGTAACACTTAAAGGCATGCAGCAGCATTTCATTGTTGCCAAGTCAACAGTCTCAATGTACCGGAATTCACATGTAAATAACATTTCTTTTATTGCGATTTACTGTATTTTGCAATCAAGACTTTTAGAAAATAAATATGACTTTATATATAAAGATCAAGAGTAGGTGAACCTCATTTATAGCAAATACACTCATTGTTAAAATACAGTGGAAAGTGAATTTAGGTCTGTAGTAATGCCCTAAAGCAAACATTAAATTTCTATGTTTTTACATCCTGTATATGATATTTAAAGAAAATGTAAATACTTTTGTGGATTTTTTTACTTACACTGAAGCTGTGTTTCATTAGATAATTACTTCAAGTATTACTGTTGTATTTAATGATTAGTTTGATCTGTGTTCAAGGCTTCAATAGAATAAATCATCTGTCATATTTACTTTCAATTAGTATCATTCCCATCCATATTCCAAATACTTCTTGTTCAAGTACAGGGATTTCTTTTCTGAGAATGAAGGGAAAAAAAACTGTCTCACCAAGCACTGCTGATCAGATCAGTCTAAATTCTATCTTGGTAGAATCGAATTAGAAAATTTGTCTTTTTGAGTCAGTAATACATTAAAACATATCGCTCAGCTCTTCCGTTTCTGCGGTACCAAGGTGTGACCTGAGCAATGCTTTCACATCAGCACTTCAGTTTACTGCTCAGGGTGACGGGTGGCAGCAGTGCTGCTGCCCTGGCCCTAGTGTGGCTGATGTGGGGGGCTGGGGTGAAGCCGTGCGCACCTCCTCTGGACCTCTTACGCTTGTGAGTGTGAATAAACCCTCTGTAGTCTGTGTGGAGCATGTGCAGCGCCTGTAACCGGTATTCCCAGCCGTGGTTTCTCTGCATTAAATCGAACGCAGACACGGCCGTTTCCCTCTTCTCCGGCGTAATGCAGCGTTAATCTCCGCAAGGACGGGCCGGCCTAGCTGCCGGCGCAGCGCCCGTCGCGGGGTAGCGACGAGGGCGCTTCTCTGACCACTGGGGGCCGGGCCCTGGCAGGCAGCGGCCGGGCCGCGGCGCGGTCGCCGTGGCTACGGGAGTGTTCGTCATACTGCGGCTGCGTGGCGCGGGCCCGCGGTGGTAGGCTTTAGGTGAGGGCCTGCGGAACCCGCTGGAGCTGCCCCGCGGGCGGAGCAGCTTCTGGCCCCGGGCTGCCCTCGCTGCCCCTTACTCCTCCACTTGGGGCTTCGGGCAGGTGATCGGATGCTGTAGCTGCCCGGGTGTAACGAGGCGGTGGTTGGAAGTAAGTGGTGGTGAGAACATGGCGGTTCCCTGAGGCGGCCCGCGTCTCGCCACTGGAGCGCGGGGATTGATTCTTGTGTTACAAACCAGTGATGGTCAAACTGTGAAATGAGGGGGAATTGTGATTACAGCTGTTCAAGTAGTACAGTAACCTTCATAGATCTTAACTAGCAAGATAACCGTGTAAGTTAAGAGTGGCTGTTCTACATTTTGGGTCAATCTGCACTCCTAACTTTGAAAGCAAATTAAATCAATGCTGCTGGTGCAGCTGTAACTTTCCAGAAACTCACCAAACTCAAAATTTTTCAAATATATTTGAAAAATGGTTTTCGACTTTGCTACATGATTAGATCTAGACATGTAAAAATCTGTAAAGATGTAATGAAGATGGAGACTTCCATGTAGCATAAGTAAGTCTACTAACAAAACTTTAAGGTCGTGGTGGTTTTGATGAATTTCTTGACAGTTAGGTCATAGCCCTGCGTTCTGTCTACTACAAGCTGAAATCGCTGCCTGGAGGAGTAGTTATTACATAAATACATGCATGTGCGATTTTCCATGTAGTTAGCTGTTTGGTTTTTGTTTGTTTTTCTCAAATAGATTATAAGGGAAAACATCTTTACATAACAGAGTAGATGTTCAGAAGGGTACACATTCAGCGTACTGAGACAATTCAGTAGTTATGGCAAAGGATAAGAAGAAAGATGTCAGGAAGACAGAAAAAACTTCACGCTCTCCTATGCCTTCACAAGAAGTTACAGCTGAGAGTAGTGCTACAAAGCTGACAGACTTGGCGACCATCGTGAATGAAGAGGAAGAAACAGGGGCCAGTCCAGTGATACTGGATAAAGAACCACAGGAGGCAGAGGAACCTCTAGTTCAAGATGTTCCTCAATACCATGAGGAGCCTGTTCTTATTCAACTTATTGTAAAAAGGTATGCTTGTTACAAATACACCAATTCAGTCAGGAATTCTCATTTAAGTATCTCTGGTGTACCCAGTGTCATACAGAGATTTAACTTTCAATTCGAGGCAGCGAATCAGGTTATTCAGACCTAATAGCCATTATGAGTGATATATGTGAAATTCTGCTGCCTTCTTGCACCCTTGAGTGTTGTTGGTGCTGTCTGCCTGCCAAAAGATTCATTCTTTTAGGTTGTTCTCCTATGGTGAAGTTTTGTCTAAGTATACTGATGGTGAGGAAAATGTAGGTATGTCATTTAAAGTTCAGTTGTTACTGCCTTTTAATGTTTAGGGCTGCTCATATCTCTTAATATCCTAAACTGAGGAAGCAGGTGAATAGAAGTGTTAGCCAAATCCTTTGGTAGTTCAAGGGGAATATATATAATGTTTCATGTAGCCAGGTTGCCTAGTTGTAAGCTAGTAAATCATAGAATGGTTAGAGCTGGAAGGGACCTTAAAGCTCGTATAGTTACAACCCCCTTGCCATGGACTGGGACACCTCACTTTAGACTATGTTCCCCAAGGGCTTGTTCAGCCTGACCTTGAAAACTGCCAGGAATGGAGCATTTACCACTTCTTTGGGTGCCTCATCACCCTCACAGCAAAGAACTTCTTCCTTACATCTAACTTGAACTTCCTCTGTTTAAGTTTGAACCCATTGTTCCTTGTCCTATTACTACAGTTCCTCATGAAGAATCCCTCTCCAGCATCCTTGTAGGCCCCCTTCAGATACTGGAAGGCTGCTATGAGGTCTGCACGCAGCTTCTCTTCTCCAGGATGAACAGCCCCAGTGTTCTCAGCTTATCTTCATGCAAGAGGTGCTCCAGCCACCTGATCATCCTTGTGGTCCTCCTCTGGACTTGCTCGAACAGTTTCATGTCCTTCTTATATGCTTCCTTCTTAAATGCTACCAACGTGTCTTGTTTTATTAATTGAACGAAATATGGGTTTGAGGCAACGCAACCATTATGTGACCTACTACAAGGAAGGTACAAAAACTCTGAAATTTTCTTGTAGTTTGTTTTTCTACACAGGATGCAGCAACCAGTTTGTGTGTAAAACATGGTAAATCAAAGGTGATTTATTGTATATATGTTGTGATTTATGTCTACTGGTAGTGACAGGAAACCTTCATCTTTAGTTTGTTTTCCTTGTAGATACGAAGGTGAAAAAGTTCATGGATTGTATGAGGGTAAAGGATTTGCATGTTTTGAGGGAGGAAATACATATAAGGTGAGTATATAAATTAATTAAAGTAGTAGTGGGTCAAGTTCTTTCTCTAGAACAGGCAATCTGCTTTTAATGTGGGTGGAGGTTGAGCATGCAGAATGTATAAGCATTGAAAGGTCTATTGGTTTCTGGCATGAAAGCTCTTCATTTGAAATGAGTAGTTGGAGGATGACATTAATATGTAATTCTTTTGAAGTCTTACAGTCACTGTAGGCTTTGGTTGTGGTAAGAATAAATTTGCAAATGATGCTGTTCTCTTTATTTTGAAGGGCATGTTTTCTGAAGGCCTTATGCATGGACAAGGGACTTACACATGGGCTGATGGAGTGAAGTATGAGGTAAAGTGCACCTCAATTTATAACTGAACACAATTACAACCAGAAGTGTAAATTCAAGGACAGTAGATAGGTTGCAGTAATTGGTACAGTGCAGGTGGCCACTGCAAAACTATGGCAGTGGTTTCAATCACAAGCCTGACTTTTCCCAGACAGTTGGTCTTATTTTTTTAAATGTTGCAATTTAACTTTTTAGGGAACATTTGTTAAGAATGTGCAGATGTTTAGTGGCCGTTATACATGGAATGATGGCAGTGTTTATGAAGGATCAATCAAGGATGGAGTTCGGCATGGATTTGGATTTTTCGGGAGTGGTATTCATCCTATTTCTTACATTGGCTATTGGTGTAAAGGCAAAAGACATGGAAAGGTAAGTGTCGTGGTTTAAACCCAGTCAGGTAATTCGTTCACTCACTTCCCCCCCTTTCTTGCCCTCCCCCTGCTCCCGGAGGGACGGAGAGGAGAATCGAAAAGAATGCAACTCCCACGGGTTGAGATAAGAACAGTTTAGTAACTAAGGTATAACACAAATCACTACTGCTACCACCAATGATAATAATGATAAAGGAAATAACAAGGGAAGAGAATACATCATCTCACCACCAGCCGACCGATAACTCGCCCCCCAGGCCCAACCAAGCTCCGACCGATACCTCCTCCAACCCTGCAGTCCCCCAGCCCTTCCGGCTAACTCCCAGTTACATCCTGGGCATGACGTGCTGTGGTATGGAATACCTCTTTGGTCAGTTTGGGTCAGGTGTCCTGTCTCTGCTTCCTCCTGGCTCCCCCTCCTCCCTGGCAGAGCATGAGGCTCACAGAGTCCTTGGCCAAACCAAAATATCCTTGTTATCAGCTCTGTTCCCGATCTGAAAGTCAAAACACTGCACTGCACCAGCTACCAAGAAGGAGAAACATGACTGCTACTGCTGAACCCAGGACATTATCCACCCCTTATTCCATACCATTCACGTCATGCTCAGATCCCCCATTTTCAATATACTCTTATCTTAGTGCATGGACCAGTCCCTATAAAGCTGCTGAGTCCATCTGGTCCATGACGTCAGGCTCCATCTCTTGTAACAGTCAGAGCAGGAGAGACTGTGTGCAGTGTTCACACTCGTGAATAACATGGGCAATAGTGTCCATTGCTAAGTCCACCCCTCGATCATGAGTCCATCTCTGTGTTGCATCTCTGCTCTGATGGCCTGAAGTGCATTGGGCCCACCAGGCTCAAAATAATTCACTGTCCCCTTAAGCAGTTTCTGCAGCTTGTTGCTGGGGACTCCATACAGCTGCCTTCCATCTCCGACGCTTCCAAAGCACTGGAGGGGCCCAGTGGACTAGATACTTGCCCATACTGTCCCACACACCCTGCCACTCATGACTGTCCAGCCTTGGGGAAAACCTCTTGGTCCCCCTATATCCTCGTCTAACCCCAGACAAGACCCAAACCTGACTCTGCTTAACTTTTGAGATCAGACAAAATGGTTGTGGGTAGAACACAGTCTGTATGTGTGCCAACATGCTGATCCCCATCACAATCAGCAGGCAGGTCCCAAGGACACCCAAAGGCCATTCAAAACCTTCAGCACTCTCAAACGATGCTGCTGTACTTGTCACTGGGGCTGGTGTAGCTGCTGTACTTGTCACTGGGGCTGGTGCAGCTGCTGTGCTTGCCGGCTCTCCCACCGCCAGCTTCTCTTTTCCTGAGTCCAGCTCTTCCTCCTCTGCCTTGCTGGGAAATGCTGCGTGGTCTCCTGCATCCTCCTGGGGCTCGGCAGGCGGCTTCCGGGGAATGCTCTCGGCCGTCGCGGGGCTGGGCTCGGCCGCGGGGCTCGGCTCCTCCGCGGGTCTCGGCTCTTCCGCGGGGCTCGGCTCCTCCGCCGCCTTCTCCCGCTGCTCGGCAGCCCCTTCCTTCTGCTCCTCGACCGCCCCGACCTCCTCCACCGGCAGCCGTCCCCTCGCGGCCTCCGGCCCCGCTCCCGCCGCCGCTTGGTCCCCGGGGCCGCTCTCCCGGGCCGGTTCGGCTGCCGCCGGCTCCCGGGGCCGCTCCCCCTCGGCTCCCCGCAGCCTCACGAAGATGGAGGCGAGGGCGAGGGCCAGGACGGTGAAGAGCAGCCGGACGGCCAGGTACAAGTCCACGGCCACGTCCGTCCCGCCCTGCTGCTGGAGCCCGCCCGTATTACAAGCCATTGCCCTAAAGCACAGTGAGACAAGAACCTTAGCCCAGGCCCCATACTTGATAAACACTATCACAGCAAATACCGGCTCTACGTAAGTTACAACATTCTGAAGCTGTGAGATCAACAAGAACAACTCTGAGAGCCAATAAATCAGCATTGTGACGAGTGACTTTTAATCCGGTCAAATCTGTCGTCAACCCTTCGAGCCCCACGTTGGGCGCCAAAAAGAACTGTCGTGGTTTAAACCCAGTCAGGTAATTCGTTCACTCACTTCCCCCCCTTTCTTGCCCTCCCCCTGCTCCCGGAGGGACGGAGAGGAGAATCGAAAAGAATGCAACTCCCACGGGTTGAGATAAGAACAGTTTAGTAACTAAGGTATAACACAAATCACTACTGCTACCACCAATGATAATAATGATAAAGGAAATAACAAGGGAAGAGAATACATCATCTCACCACCAGCTGACCGATAACTCGCCCCCCAGGCCCAACCAAGCTCCGACCGATACCTCCTCCAACCCTGCAGTCCCCCAGCCCTTCCGGCTAACTCCCATCCTGGGCATGACGTGCTGTGGTATGGAATACCCCTTTGGTCAGTTTGGGTCAGGTGTCCTGTCTCTGCTTCCTCCTGGCTCCCCCTCCTCCCTGGCAGAGCATGAGGCTCACAGAGTCCTTGGCCAAACCAAAATATCCTTGTTATCAGCTCTGTTCCCGATCTGAAAGTCAAAACACTGCACTGCACCAGCTACCAAGAAGGAGAAACATGACTGCTACTGCTGAACCCAGGACAGTAAGAAAGAACACCAAATGCGAATATGGTCTTCTCATTTGGCATCCATATACTGTCTGAAATAACAAGTAGTGTTGTGCAGAGGTTTTGCAAAAAATGTTTCATGCTGTTGCATGGCCTTACACTTTGTAGAGATTTCTTTTTCCTGAGGATCTTCTCTGGAGTTGTGAGTGCCAACTAAAACAATTGGGGTGGGATCTTTTTGTGCTAGAAGGAATAAACGGTATCTGAAAAGAGTAATTGGTTTATTATGTGTTTTATCCTTTATGCTGCTCCACAAAGATGATGAAAGTCAGAAGTGTCGACTGCATTAGTAGCCACATAGCAATGACAGGTCAATTCACTTCCCAGTAATGACAAAGTAATCCCATCTTCCAAATGTGTTAAGCAGACCAAGTATGATAATTACTGCCAGATCTAGTGTAAGTGACATCTACTTCTAGCTTCTTAAAGGCAAGTGGTGCTTTTATCTGTCTCTGTTTTATGCATCCAAACTGAGAAACTTCTGGGCCTGACATCTTGAAGACTGATATTCAGCACGTGAGGAAGATCCATTCTAATAATGTGGGGTTTTTTAGGGTGTCACTAATGAAACACTAAAATCACACGGACTGCAGTGGATGATCACCAGTGCAGAGGTCTGTCCAGTTTGTTCAGAGAGGAAGTTGTCAGATAGAGAAAGACAGAAAAATTAATGCTGTAGACTTACTGTTTGAAGTTGAATTCTGAATGAGTCAGAAAACTGATTTCCCTCAGAGTGGCTGCTATGATTAAGCTGCCAAAGTTAGCTCTCTGAAAGTGTTTCCAAGTGATTTGAAAAGCGTTGTAGAATTTGATGTAATATGTTGGGTGTTTTTTGGGGGGACACCTGGTCTTTTTTAAGGTCTTAACTATTCATCAAAAGAGGTTGCTTTTTAATTTCTTTTTATCACTTCAGTTGCTTTCAGTACAGTGTCTCAGGGTGACTGTAAGTAAGAGCATGATTACGTGCATCTGATGTAATTTGTATGCAATGTTTTATTAATATAGATGAATGTTTAGGTTTTTTAATTTACTATACTGTCTGTTTCAGGGTACCATTTATTATGACCAGGAACGTACTTCTTGGTATTCAGGCGACTGGGTAAATGATGTCAAAAAAGGATGGGGAATGAGATGGTAAATGTCATAGCACTCGTTCTTGTCTGCATATTTTTTATTTTGCATACATTATCATACAGTTTCTCCTGTTGTTTAAAATGGATAAACATGCTACCATTTCATAGTAGTATGCACTTTCTGTAGTGGAATAAATAATTGTACAAGCTGCTTTATAATAATAAAATAGACCTTCTCTATAACTTACATTTTTATGTTGATACATTTCTACTGCTCATTCCCACAAACAGATGTCTAAAGACAAAATGCAAAATCACGTTTGGTAAATCACAAATCAACATTTTAAAAACAAATGATTTGAACAAATGGAGATACTTTTATGAATAGATGAATTATTTGTGGAATTATACATAAAAGAATACTTTGATTATCTATGGTGAAGACTCATTGGAAAAAAAGAACTGGTTAATGTTTTTACAGTGGTCTGTAAGTTAAAAATAGTAGGTAAACAGTGGGTGCAATAAAACCTTTGTATGTGTGTCACAGTGAGCCAACTTTGAAATTAATGGTTATATTTAGCTTTAATAAATTCTGAATTCATTACCAGTGAGTTTTGTATAAACCTTGCTTTCATAAGTTCCACTTAGAATTTAGTATGAATGAATCATTAACTTTTACTATTTTCTTTCAGCTATAAGTCTGGAAATATCTATGAAGGTCAGTGGGAGAAAAATGTACGTCATGGAAAAGGAAGAATGAGATGGTTGACAGTTAATCAAGAGTATATGGGACAGTGGGTGCATGGCATACAGGTAGTAATTTCTTCCTCAGCAGCCTCTTTAGTTCAGCATCTGTCCATTGCTCTAGTAAAACTAGATAAGGGAGTTTTGTGCAATATCAAAGGAGCTTTATATGTTTATTGCCAGTTGAGATAGTGTAAGCATGTTTTTTATCGTAAGTTGATGCTCATAAGAAGTCTGCAGTATTCAGATTGCTTAGAGGCTGTTGACTTAGTCTTACAAAATAATAATTTAATACTCTAATGGAAAATACGAACTTTTTCATTAATAAAAGCAGTTAAGTGTGACTATACTTAGCTTGAGATATGACTTCAGCAGTGAGTGTATGTAGAAATTTATGTCTGTGTCACCTGTGAAATATTAGACCATGCTGTTAAGGTTTCATGGTGGAAGGAGATGATTTCTGGAATTTTCTGTTCCTTCCATTTACTATTCTGTTGGAAGAAGAACGTGAGCTACTTTCTCTTGTCTTTTCACTCTGAATAAAATTGTTAAGGAGTCTAGCCTTTGGAACATCATGGGTCTGTCTGGCATGGTGTTCCTCACCTGCCTGTTCAGCATTGCAGCCAAAGGGATTCGGGCAGGAAGGGTGCCTTTAGGAGTCCTGTTCGTAGAGCTTGCTCAAGTACGTGTTGATTCAGTGTATCCTCTGAGCGCTTCTCCCACACACCTTTGGAGAATATGGCTCTGAGTATGGTTTGAAGTACTGCAGCTATCAGCTGGGTGCTTTTATTTGAGAGCTTTGCCAACTGTGACTTAAAGGTGATTCTCCTTTTTCAAAGTCTGGACCTGTAGCAGTAGTAGCTTGTCTGTGGATGTTTGGTTTTTCTTAGACACACAAACTGTTTTTCAGCACGGGTATGGGATCCACATCTGGTTTTTGAAGAGAATGCCTGCGTCTCAGTATCCTTTAAGGAATGAATACATAGGTGATTTTGTAAATGGGAAACGACATGGACATGGGAAGTTCATATATGCCAGTGGAGCAGTGTATGATGGTGAATGGGTTTGTAATAAGAAGCATGGCAAGGTGAGTATTGACAAGTAGCAAGACGAAACTACAGACAGCACCAAATGAGTCAGTTCTGCTCTGTATGGCAGACCTCCAGATCTCTGTACAGAAAATTACATTCAATTTGCATTGTGGATGGAATCCCAACATAACATCCCACTGAAAGCAGCAGGAATCCTTCCAAGGACCTTGCTGGGCCACAGATTTGACTCCATGGTTAGGTGCATGTTGTTTGTATAAAGAAATAAATTTTACTGTGACGATTTTGAATGTAATAGGTATGTCTGGATTTTTGCAGTGGTTGGCTTTTCAAAACCGAACAGATATATAGGCAATACTTCATCCCAGCAGGGTACTTCAATTAATAGATGACTAAGTACTTTTTAAAAAATGGGGAAGGAAAATTATTTTGCTTTATTTTATTTCATGTATTGCATTGTAGTCAAGATTCTTAAAAAGAAATTTGATTGAGAGCATAAGTCATATTTTTAATTTTGTTAATTTCAATATAAATCAAAGATCATAATCTATCTGTAGGGCAAGTTTGTCTTCAAGAATGGTCGTGTTTATGAAGGAGAGTTCATAGATGATAACATGGTGGAATATCCTGCTTTTCTAGCGAATGCAATGAATATGAAAGGGCTGAATTCCATTTGCACAGAAAATCATTTTGGCTCTGGTAAGCAGCTTAAGAAAACAAATTCTACTCAGTTGACATTTTGTTTTTACTATAATGTGAAGCTGTTTGTACTTACTCAAGAGCCAGCCATATTTCTTCAAAGAACTTTGATAAACATGGGAGTTATCTTAATTATTAATGACTTTTGCTACTATACTTCCTGTTTCCTGCACATGACACTTTGAGTTGATTGACACATCCACACTACATCTTGTAATGCTTTTTGGCTACTCTTGTCTGAAGGTTTCATAACTTATGTAATATCTGCATTTCCTTTTGGCTAGGGGTTGGATTTGACAAAATTATCCTTCAGTTGTTATGCTGTTGATTATGACATTGCTACACCTCACTGTAAATGAGTTTATTATTCTCAGTTTGAAGTCATTAAGATAAGAAGGAATAATATATGTTTCATTCCCCCCCCCATATATATATATTTAACTTCATTTTAGTTTATTCTAATTTATTTTATTTGCATGATAGAAAATACCGCAGTCATCAGTGGCTCAGAAGATACTTCTATTCTGGAATTCAGTACTGAGTTGGGTATATCTTTACTGCTTGACTTGTTGCCAGAGGAAGAGAGATGGGAAGAACTGAAGCAAGTAAGAGTTTACTGTTTGATATCTTCAGTTTTCCCCCGTAGTGTATTTCATGTTATTTTATTTCTGGTTTATTTTATTAAAATAACTCGTTTCATTAAAGAATTTTTGAAAATCTGAAGGCTATGAAAGCAGAAAATCAAAAAGAATTAATAGACAGTATTGCTTCTTCCTGAGCCTTTTTTGGAATACAATTAAATATGTTCTATCTGGAAGGGCATTCAGCAGCTACCTTTAGCTACTGTGAGGTTTGTCTGCTGACAGACTATTTTTATTGATCATAAAAAATATATAGCTGCATTTGAGTAATGCCATCATGAATGCTTAACCAGGGATATCCTCTTTGAAGTTACAAGATGGAAAGCACTATATGCCCAGTTATAGGATCAATATGAGCTGATCCCTACTTTCTGTGAGATGATGCTGAAAACATATCCTGCTTTATTTAGGTAGAATTTGCTGTATTGAGGCATATTACAGAACTGAGAAGAATTTACACCTTCTACAGTAGCTTAGGCTGTGATTATTCTTTTGACAACACCTTCCTCATGACTAAGCTCCAATTTTGGAGATTTCTGAAGGACTGCCAGTTTCATCACTCCAACATAAGTCTTGCTGAAATGGATCGGATATTGAGGGGTTTGTATTTCTGTTGTTTGGGGTCTAGAATCTAGGAACTGTAATAGTAAGCTGTGGAGAGGTGGAGTGGCAAGTTCTGCTGATACCTCAACACTGGTAGTGAGGTGTCCCTGAGTGAGTACTTCTGTGCTTGTGACTTCTCAGTGGATGCATTAACACTTATCCAGGCACTTCAGGTCCTTAGGTGGGAAAATGTAAAATTAAAATAGCCATTAAAAATTTGTTCTCAAGAGCCATCTATTCAAAACTTGTATTTATCCCGGTCTTGTCTTTACTGTTACATGTAGTTTAAAGAGGTCTGAGAAAGAGAAGAAACAAATCTTCCAGTGCTTTTAATTTTGGTTTGCATGTAGTATGGGTTTTTTTATTTCTGTAGAGCCAGTTAAACATCCCGTTCTATTTTAGACCTGCACCAGAAGCACTGTGGTGTCCCTAATATGTAAAGGGTTTAACTCCAACTTTGCTTCCCCTTTCATTCCTGTATGCTGAGTAGATGTGTTTCTAGAAAGAGAGAATTTGACAGAATTCAGCTGTAGGTAGATGATTCTCCCTTGAGCTTATTGTTTGGAAGTGATGCTGTGTCTGGTCTGATTCTTCCAGCAGTGTTGTTACTGTGTGATATGTAGAGATGGAGAGGTATTTTAATGTACAGTATAGCAATAGAGATTTATTTATTCAAATTTTTTAGGAGATAAAACACCAGTTGAGGAGATACATTGTCCGCATGAGACTTTACTGTTCAGAACGTTTTTATCTTACCTTATTCGCCTAGCATTTCATATCTATCATGAAGAACACAAGTAAGTTTTTAATCTTATAATGACATTTATTTCAGTGTAATCAGTTTGAGTCTTTCCCAGACAAGAGTATTTTTATTTCAGCTGTAGAGACAACAGTCCTTATCCGAGTAAGTGTTTCTTAGAAATGATGTCCAGGAACGTTATTCCCACTGCCTGTTATGTCCAAGGTAAGTAATGGTATTTCTCCTGTGCAGAATTCATCAATTTGTACCACATACATCATAGTTTTACTGTAACCATTTATTTTTTCCCAATTAATTTTTAAAGGTACCTTATTTTCTGAAGAAAGATGTACAGTTTTGGTCATGAACAGCTACATTGACAAATGCTGGGAAATATACAGAGCCTTTTGTAGACCAAGTACCAGACCTCCATTTGAGCTCACGATGAAAATGAGGCACTTCCTTTGGATGTTGAATGTAATAACCTCTATTTCTTTATTTTGTACGGTTACAAGAGCTTTATTTATTCAGTTTATATGAGTGTTTTAAAATACTCCCTGTGACTTCTGCCCAGTTGAAAAGATAGGAGTGGTGTTATTTGTAGAAACTGTCCACCAAACATTAAAGGGACAGTTACTCTACAGAAATTATTTATGTACTTGTGCAGGACTGAATTCTGACTTTGTACTGACAATTTCAAATAACCAAATCTTAAAACACATTTGTCTAAGGAAATAAAAATATTTTTGCTTCCTTCCTCCCCACCCTGTAGAGTGAATATGTGGAAATGTCTTCCTGGTAGAGCTCAGACTGGAAACCTTTTGAAATAACACAGTAATGTATTAACATAGTTCAAGATGAAGATGAGATTCCTTATGAATATCCAGTAATTCAGAGACACATAAAGATTACACTGAAGCTAGGGAACAATTCCCATTGATAGGCTTGGGTTTGGTGACTGTCACTGGTTAAATTCAAGCCTTTTTTCATGGGAAAAAAAAATAATTAGCAGGTGGCAAGATTGTGAAAGCTCATAAATAAATTTTTAAAAATTACAGTTATTTCTTAACACTTTTTTTGCAGTGTAGCAGGAATTCCCAGTAAGGCCAGAATTTTACTCAGTCATTGATTATCTGTGTGGAATTATAGAATAGAATCACAGAATCATAGAATAATTTGGGTTGTAAGGGGCCTTCAAAGGCCATCTAGTTGAACCTCCCTGCAATGAGCAGGGACATCTTCAACTAGGTCAGGTTGCTCGGAGCCACATTCAGCCTGACCTTGAATGTCTTCAGGGATGGTGCTTCCAGCACCTCTCTGTCAACCTGTGCCAGTGTTTTACCACCCTCATTGTAAAAATTTTTTCCTCCAGTCCAGCCTGAGTCTCCCTTTTCGTTTAAAACCATCTCCTCTCTTCCTGTCACAACAGTCCCTGATAAAAAGTCTCTCCTCATCTTCATATAGGCCCCTTTTCAGAACTGAAAGGCCGCAGTAAGGTCTCCCTGGGGCCTTCTCCAGGCTGGACAATCACAACTCTGTCAAGCCTTTCCTCCTAGGAGAGGTGCTCCAGCCCTCTGATCATGTGAAACAATTAGAAACTTTGACACAGGCTTTAAAGGGAGTTAGATTAAATCCATGTGGGAATGCCTTGGGTGCTGCTAACATGTAATGCTTACCTTACCCAGGATTTTAAACTTCTCAGCAAAGAGTTAACTCCTTCAAGACTTGTGGAAATACTTGTCAAAGATGGTCCCTCTCAACCTGGTAGCAGTAACACCAACCTGGAGCTGGAGGTGTGTATGGGAAAAAAGTATCATACTTCATTGCTACAGGAACAGTTAAAATTACTTTTAAAAACTGTTGCAATTACTGTTCTGTCTGCTAGGGCAGGATGAAATTAATTTAGTAAAAAAATAGAGTACAAACTTCAGCCTCTATTTCTGTCTTTGTTTTGCCTATACCTTCTAATTTAGCTCATGTACTTCTATGTTTTTCTTATTACTCTTCTTAGTATAGTCTCAGCATACCTGACCATACAAATAATTCTTAAGGCTGCCGTAACCCAGAGGGCATTCTCCATTCCTAGGAGACTGGTGCTAGTAATAGATCAGTCTGTGAAGCAGTTGCTTTACAATATGTGTATACAGTGATTACATAGGGATGAATGTCAGCACTTTCAGCTGCCAAGGTGTGCACAGGAAATACTAAGATGTGTTAATAATTAAGATGTAAACACACTGATCCTGAAAATCTGGAGATCCAAGAAACCTGATGTGTAAAGTGCTGCCACCTCAGTGAAGTAGAAGACTTATGCTGCCTGACAGCTGGCCTGCTACTGAAGGCCTTTGCCCTTAAAGAATTGGCTCTGGCTTGGTGATGGTCTGTTGTAAATGGCTATATTGAATTTATTGTTTTAAACAATGTCTGATAAACTGAACACACAAATGTCAGTCTTACTGAGGGATTCATTATACACCCATTCCAGGGGCTCCTGGAAGCGTTGTATGCAATTAAAATTTTAGGTAATAGTTAATAATTTGTTAGAGAAATTTCTCATAGCTCCAGACACAGCAAAAATCTATACAATATTTTATTTCAACATGACTTGTATAAGGCATGACACAGGATATCACTTCTGAATTTTTTGAGCTTGGGCTGTTTTCAGTTTTTCTTCAGAAGGAGGGATGTTTGACTGGATAAATGAGGCCAGTGGGGCTTTGCAAGCAATCACTTGAGTTCTTTGCTTGCTCAGGTATATATTAATTGTCAGTTAACAAAAAGATTTTGCAAAAATGAGTGAATTAATCACTGTGTTTGTTCCACTCTAGTTAGTTTTTCTGGAATTTGTTGAAGCTCTTCTTGCCTGTGCGTTGGTGTATGTTACCAGTGATATGATAAAGGAGCAAGAAGCTTGTGAGAATGAGAGCAGAAGTAGCTTTAGAATGGAGGTTCACTCCAAGAAAACCACACATGTATCTCTGTTCCCAGACTATTCTCTGTCCCAGGTAAAGTTGATAGAGACCTGTTGAATATGTCCACTGGGAGGGTGAAGTCCAGCCCTGCAAATATTCTGTGTTTCCTGAACATAGAAACCACTTTCCTCTTTTTGTGTAAACAGTCATTTGATTGGGTCCTACTGCCTTTCCTGCTTGCTGATGCCTATAACATCAGTATAGTCAGCTTTAACACATTTGCACATTTTCCTAGTTAACTCTAAATACACATAAGGTGCCTGCAAGTTTTTGGTGTTTGAAGGGGAATTGACAGATTGGTTGACTGATGGAAGAGACACGCCTCTCTTCTAAGTCAAGTGTCTAAAATTGCACTGTAAAAATGTCATTGCAGTTGTTCCATGTATCAAGGTTCACCGTTTCCAGCAGTTAAGCTATGCTCTTTTCTTTTTGATGGACACTTGAATAAGGATTTTGTCAGTTATAAGATGCTGCCTGTGCCACTGGAGCAATTTAGATGCACAGGGGAGTTGGAGGCATGAGTTAGAATTGTTATTATTTGGAATTATGCATTTATTAATTCAAAGAGCATTCACAAACACCTCATTTCACACTGTCAATGAGTAGTGTCACTGAACACCACCACTCCCATTCCCTGGTCAATTGTACTGGTTCTGTGGAACCTCTTCCTGTGCATCACTGCAAGAATTAACGCAGCTGCACAGTGAAATGGTCCAGTTAAAAAAGTCAAATTTCCAAGACCAAAAAAAAAAATCTTAATTTAAAATGTACTGACGGTAAAATTCTTCTTGTTTCCTTTTTATTAGTGCATGTACAGTGGAACTGTACTTGATACAGACATGAATGATCACATGTCTGAGGCACCTGAGCTTTACTCATTGTTGTCTTCAAACAAAAGTTTCATAACACAGGATGAATTAAAGAAACATGAGGTATTTTAAATACAATATGTTCCCATGCCTGGATGCATGTATGCACCTCAAAGTGGTGCATTGCCTGCCATTGCTAATAATAGCGTTTGCTCCCACACATGCACTCAGATATTTTTGTTTAGAATACTGGGTGGTAAGTTCTACATTAACTAAAACAGGAGTGAACAAAGCTAGAGTTTTATCTTGTCTTGCAAGGTGGGGGAGTAAGAGGCTGGGAAGTGGGCAGAGAGATCTAAAAGCACTGGGGAAGGTAATATAATTCCTAAAATAGTTTTCAGATTTTTTTCCAGCAAACTTCTCACCTTCACTGCCTTTATGATTTTGTACCCAGTGTATGCCTGTAATGAGATTCTTGATATTCCAGGAACACATACATTCTGTTTGATCTCTGTGATTTCAGAGTAAGATAGTAGGGATTACTGTTTTGTACTGGAATCATGGAAATCAGACAGAGAATTTGGAAACTTCCTGACTTTTAGAAAATACTACCAACACAAAATTATGTTTGACCTGAGTTTTGGTGAGACGTAATCAGGCTGCAGAAGATACTTGGGGTGACAGTTAGAAAGATTGCAAAGCATCAGTCTCATTAGTCTCGAATCTTGTTCTTTTCACTTAGTATTCCTCCTGGAGTATATTCCTGTAATCAGGAATAGAAATTAGTTATTGTTTCCTCAGGACTAGATGTATGTAGAGCAAGATGCAAGAACGGAGGGACATGTCTAAGAATAGGAGCTCTCATTCTTTGTAGTATCTTTCATTGGCTCTGAAATAGGATGATCCTACTTCCCTGGCTGGTGTCGAAGGTGAAGTGTTATGACCAATTTGCTAATACTTGAAAGTGTGAAACATGGTTGCAATTGAAATGTTTTGAAGTAGGTATAATTGTAGAATGCCTTTGATTGGCAGAATGCTTTGTAGATAGCAATTTGCATGACTCAAATGGACATGTAATTTCACTTTCTAATTTGGACACAAGTCCAGGCATTTAGTAACTGAATTTTAAACTTCTTGCTGACCACAGAGACCTTCTGAAGACACAGAGCATCCTCTTCAGGAATTTCTGCTGGGTGAGTACTGGAGTTATAAGCATTTCTAAGCAGTGGTGATAGAGGAGATTCACTCTTTCTACAATTTAAGAGATGATTAAAACAGCAGCTAATCGTTGAAACAACTGGATACATTGCAGTACAGAAGGTAGCTGCATTCAGTCTGGCAATTACAAAAAGTTTTATGTTGAGCTTTCCACATCTGCTATACACAGGTATCTGGCAAGTTTGAATCTCTGAACCTCTTGTGCTTTTCAATTAAAAGCTATCACATTTTCTGTAAAAACAATGTAAAGGTTTTTTTTAAACTAAATTCTTCCTGTTCTGTCTCACTCATTTGGGCATGGAAACAGAGATTGCAGTCTGCACTGTGTCTTTATTCAAAACAAACCTTTCCTCAGTACAGAAGTATTTCAAGCACAGGTGTAGCTGTAAGGTCAGATAACAATTTACATCTGTTTGTGCTGAAGATCAAACCTGATCTTTAACATACATAATTACAGACTGAGTACTTTCAATTTTTTTTCTTTGGAGTACCAGATACTAGCCTCTCATTTCACACAACTCATGGAGATACCATTGTTCCATCAGTGGTTCCAACATCGTTGAGCTGGGATGCAGAAAAAGAACAAGATACCTGTCCAGGAAAGGACAGGTAAAGCAGTCCTAGTGTTTTAAGACTTAACACAAAAAATCCCTCATAGCTTTTGAATGGGGAATTTTAATTGTATCTGCAGAGTGCAGCTTGTCACAAGAGGGCAGTAAATGAACATTAATTCTGAAGGAAAATGTTTAAAGAAGATTAAACGTAGTAATTGAGATGTTTAAGAACTGACTTAAATAGTGTCCCTGATTTATGTCGCATTTTATTTGTAGGGCATCTAATGCTGTAATTTGTATTTACTCTATGAGAAGCTCAATCTGCAAGCCAGCCTTTTTTTTTTTTTTTTTTTTAATGTCTTGGACAAATAAAAGCTATTACTGCTCTATCCTGCTTGTTTTAGTTAATGGAAAAATTATTATTAATGGTGTGAAACCATTAGCTGGGATTAAGTTAATGAGAGGCCAACATTCATGCAGAAGAGAAATCAGCATTTTTGTATGTTGAGGCTAGTAACCTTTTTGTATCATCTGGCTGATCAGATCTCATTTTTTGTTTTTTTGTGCTTATTAAAGTTTTTCTACAGATACAGAACCTAAATCCAAGAACATAGATAGACAAGGATCTTTGTGTAGTCATCATCTCTTTCACTGAAATCTGGTGACTGAAAAGTTACAGATCAGATTGTTTCTTCAACAACCATCCTTGTTTTTCTGGAAAATTTGTGACAATTGGATGCTTGCATCCAATTCTTTTCTTTCAGGTAGTTGTGTTCATTCCTCCATTCCCCTGTGCACAGGAGTCAGAGATACTGGACTGTTGTCAGATTACTGGGGAAGACAGTTATCATAGGATTAAAGGGGAAAGTTGATATTCTTTTGATGCCATCCCAGTGACAGGTCACTCAGAACACCTGCAAAAGGGCCATCCCCTGTCACATGCATCAGTTTAAAGTTTCTCACAGTTATCTCCTGTACCATGCAGAAGCCACACTTTCCCATTGCAGAGTATCAGAGCTGAAGTACTGTAGTCCAAGCCACACTTGAAACAGAAGTGTCCTGCTAAATAAACATATTTGATTTACATGTTGCAGGTGAATTGAAAGAAGACAGAACTAAACAAGATGAGCTTAGTTTGTTGCTGTGCCAGGTGCAGATCTTCTTTACAACTAAGTTCTTTCCCGCTTACCAGCATGAGAAAGTGCTGTGGGAAAAAATAAGAGAAAATCGAATACGAGATGCTGAATTAGCTCAGCTGAGAAAGATCAAGGATGAGGAGCTGGCAAAGTGAGTGGTGTGGCTTATCTTGAAGTAGTTTTCTACTAACTGAATTATTCAAAATGAGAAACATGCTTTAATAAAACAGTATAGCATAGTGTAACTGGAAAACAAATGCCAGGTGTAATAAGCAACATGAAGAATGTAACTTGTAACTTCTCTTGCTGTCAGAAGAAACAAACAGAAGCTGCTTTGAGGTTACAGAACTACTAGCTCTCTGGTAATTCCTGGCACTTTAGCCATGCTCTGCATAGTGGCTGTTTTTTTTACATACTGGTAAAGCAGACTTAAAGTGGTAACTGGGTAGATTTTCTGCTTCTCTACAATATGACAGTTTATACTGGTCATACTATGAATACAGCTGTAGTTGCTTAGCTGGTATAAATCTGTCTCCCCCCTCTTACACTACATTAAACTTAAACTATGTTCACTCAGAGTTATTGCTGGAAGAGAAGAGGCAAAAAAGCAAGAAGCAGCTGCAGCAGCAAAAACATCTGACCCCAAGAGTGCAGATTCTAAGGAGTCAGAGGAGCCTGGCACAACATTAGCATCTGCTTTGAAGGAAGAGGCACCCACAGCAGTACCCCCAGTTACCAGGGTGCCTGCTGGCAAAAAGAGAAGGAAGAAACAAATCATCTGATGGGAACTACTGAAGCTTGAAGTAAGTAAATACTCAAAACCAAACCAACAGCAAAATAATCACACTTGCAGTAAGGTATAAAATACAAGTATGATGAAACTGTATGCACAAGTTTATTGCTGGTTTCAGAGGGGAACTACTTCTACACCAAGGGTCTTGGGAAGGGGAATATAGTCACAGGCATGAGTGTAACCCTTTGGAAAAAAGTATTTCAGAAGTCAGTATTTGACCTCACCTAAAAAGTCCCAGTAAGTTGATACGACAACAAGTATCTTATAATGATCTTATATCCCAATTAAATGGTTTCTGTTTAAAATATGGTTTGACTGAAATACTGCATATGAACTAGGATGTAAGAAGGTAACAAAGAATGTAAATCAGGCTGAAGCAGGAGCTGCAAACAACAGGCCAACTGAGAAAGCTTTTGGAGCAGGGGTCTTTGGTAACCACTCTAGTTTCATGTTGAAGAAAGTTAGCACGATGATGCAAATGAACACAGGAAAACAAAAAGATGCCCTTAAAAGTGTAGCAATTAATAGTTTTATTTTCCAGTAAAATATTCACATAACAATAGCAGAATGGAATGGTACAGATGAATTCAGGCCAGGTTTTGTTTAGTTTGCACATAAACATTTTTAAAATCTAAAAATTTTATGATCAGAGTTTACAGATTTTAGTAGAAATTTTGATTCTTACAAAGCAAGTATTGCTTTACTATTGTCATTATTCCAGTCAATAATATGACTAATAACTTCTCATGTTGCACAAGTGTCTGACATTGACATCTTCTAATAAATCAGCCCTTTGCAGATCAATCCAAGAAGAAAATATTATTAAACTGTGTTGCACAAAGTTTCTTCACTTCTTCTGTAAAAAAGAAAATAAAAAAAGGTGTTTCAGTATATGTTACAGGAGCCTCTGCAAGCTAAACCCTGGGGATCATCAAGGAGAGAAAATAATTAAATTAAAACAGAAGAAACTCTAGGAGTTTCCAGTGTAGAAATACACTTAATGTTATTCTATCTTCAGTAGGAGAAAATGAATCAAATCTGATATTTGACACTGTCTGAAAGATGAGTTGTATTCTAAATGACTAAAATGTAAATTAATTATCATTTGTGTTTGCTGTTGGCCCATTTGTCTTGTCAAATTTCTACACTGCAACAGCAGAAGACTTGGCTTCAACACAAAGCAGCAGACTATACCCCTTGTCAGGGAAGGAAAGATTAGGGAAGCCCATTAAAATAAGTCAGTGAAACTTTTCTTTGTGCTGTTTGGCAGAAAGCACTTCCTAAGTTTATCAGCCACAGAAATACTCATTTACTGTATGTCAGGTTTGATCCTGAAAGACAATTAGAAATCATGGTGAAGTCATGCCAATTTGTTCCTCTTTTGAAAAATGAGGTTGCTAGGCTTTAGTTTTGTAAAAGCTTTAATTCTTTCTTCCTATTAAAACAGAGAGCCCTGAAACTGCTGCAAGTAAGACTCAGACTTTAAGAGAAATGGCAGTTTAAAAGCTTGTTGCATCTTAAATGTTAATTTGTACTCTTAGTCATAGTAAGTAATTCTCAAAAGCAGCACTAGAAACAAGACAACAGTGGAATGGGGATCACTGACAAGAGAGACATTATGCATAAGTAACCTACCCATGGGTCATAGACAAGTAAAACTTAACTCAGATGTTCATCTCTCACCTATAATACACTTCATTAATTACTCCTGAGCTAAGCTCACAGAGCACTCTGTCCACTATTATTTGAAGGAGGAAGAATGACTAATAAATAATTAAGAATGTCTGCTGAATATTTATGCTGTTCTTTGACAGCTGTAGAAGGCAGACGAAACCGTTATGCAAACTTACCTGGTCTATCATAGATCAGTCCCTCTCTAGCTTTCTTGTGAGATGGATTTTATTACTTCTCCAGGGACATACATTTTAGTATTAACTGTGTTTAAAGGTAATAAAAACAATCCTTACCATTAACTTCAATCAGATTTGCATTTTTTTGATTCAAAATAACATACAGTTCTCGCTGGTCAGACTTTTTCCCAACTACCCAGTAATCACTCATTGCCTTCACAATAATTTCCTCATCTTCATCAACTCTGAAAGAAGTTTTACAAAGTAAAGAAGGTGGCAGCAAGTTCATCTTCAACAACTTTGTCTGTAATCATTAAGACAGCTTAATGGCATCAATTTTTGTGGTTGTGCAGAATGAAAGAGGGACTACCACTACTGACTTAGACATAATTCAGCAATCCAGGATAAAGGTTTCATAAATGGCTGCTTAGGACAAATGCATCCCTAGATTAATCATTAGTATGTCTATCAGCCACTGTCCACTGACACTCAGGCACTCTGGAGAAAACCCCTATCCCTCCATCATAAGGACACACTTCATAGAATAATCATTTGCTACACAATGACCAAATAATGAAAGCTGGAGCTGGTGGATGGTTTGGTAATACTAATTTTTCACATATCTAACAGCTAAACCTAGAACTAAACCATGCTCAACAACTACATAAAGCCATCACTAACCCTGTTCTTCCACAGTATGGCAGAACATTCTTTTATCTTTTATAGACAAATGAAAACCTTATCCTTAAGTAGAGTGGGAGAACTGCCAGTAGTGAGAGACATCACAATTATTCAGCATTTTCATGTAATTTTTTATAGTGACAGAGGGTCTCTCCCACCATGAAGCACAATGCCCATTGATAAGAAGCCAGTTATCTCCTGTCAGCAGTACTGTACCAACTGCAGGATTTGCATTTCATCTATTGTCTAATCCCTAGAATCAGGGAGCAGTTTCAGAGAAGGTTTATCATCTAGGCAGAAGGGGATTTCCCTGTCCTTCATACTACTTATCCTGAGATTAGCCAGGCTTAAGTGCAAAGGTGCTAGGCTTCACATTCCTTTTGAGTTTGTTATGGCTTCTCTGAAGCTTCAGATAGATTAGACAGTTTCCTGGATAGGCCCTTCCTAAATTATTTTTTTTAAAAGGACACTAAGTTTTGTTTGAAACAAACTATTTCTAACCCAACACAAAAATCCAAGTATGACCCATGTTACACCATTTATCTCAGAGCTCTGAATAGCCATCCATGAGCAAAAAGACAGGAAAGGTTCACTCGTTTGAAAAAAATAAATAAATAAAAATCTACTTGATAGAAGCAGTTACAGACTATTAAATAGTTAAGCATTACCTGGAAAAGTCACTGTTGATGTCACCGAGAATCTTCATGAGGTCAGGGTGAACTGATGCAAGTGATACACTGGGTGTTTTCCTCATGTGAATGGTACTTTTCTCTGCCAGGTTCATGTGATTGAAATAGATAAACTTAAACTGAGGCTCCTTCTCAGCCCTAGGAAGATAAAAAACAATCAAACAAAACTGGATTTGTGAATACATGTTCTATAAGCACAGGCTTCACAGAGAATGGGTAACAATCCAGTGCAAAGCTTACTCAGACATCCTGAGGTTATCTTCACATTGAAGAGACCCAAGAACATTAAAACTTGTGGCATGATCAAACTTTATTTTAACACACTTTAAAAAGCAAGCCTGCAAAACCAACCAGTTTCCCCTTCCGCTGCTTAGGCTGCTACTAAATAGACATGGGGGAGTCTAAAGGCCTTGTCCCACTTCCCAAGAATAGTTTGCATTTCTCTCATGAGCTGTTTTTTCTCTGTCCCCATTTTGTTTCTTTGCTGCTCTATCCTGTACCAGTCCAATGTGGTTTCAATGGATGCTGGGTCTTCCATTTGATCAATAAGTAATCCACTCACATCTCTGTTATTTGTTACAATCAAAAGAAAGAACTCCTCCTTGATCCAGGCTATTAGATTTCCCCCCATCATACGTGCGGGCTAAGCAAGAGACTATTTTCAAACTCCTGCCTCAGCAGTCTCCTTCATTTCCTCTTCTATTAAGTTAATATAAAATCTGCTGCTCGGAACTGTAGTTTTGGTAAAAGTCACAACAAATTCAGACTGGCAGAAACTGGCTATAGCAGTTGGTACTTCTGGCTATGTATTATTCAGAATCAAGGAGATAACTGTGATGACACCACTCACCTTAGCAAACAACTAGATACCCTTGCTCTTTCCTGTCACCCAGATGCATGAGTGTCAAGAAACTGTATCATGTTTTCAGGACACCATGGCATTAAACTTTAAAAGAGTTAAAGCTGCCAAAGCCAGTCCCAGGTGACATGAAAAAAACCCCAACTTTAATGATTTAGTAGACTGGCACAGTTTCAGGCACATCCTATTCTATACCCTGCGATTTTGCTGATTTGGCATGCTACCACCGAGCTCAGTCACACACCTATCTTTGCTTCAGTTCCTCTTGTGTTGTCATATGCAATACTGCTCTGGCTTCCCCAACTAACAAATCAATCTAAAAATAAGTAAAATTTTGTGGAAAGTCAACTATAGTTTTAACTGAAGCATAAGAAAAGTTAGAAAGTATACACCGAAGTTAAGATTTTGCAGGAACTGCTACTTTTTTACTTCAACATGGGGACGCCAACAGATGATCACACCATTTCCATTGGCATTTTGTGTGGATTTCTGCAAGCACAGTAATCTCTAAAACTCATCATCTCCATGGGTCAGCTAGTTTTGGTTCACACATAAAAGAAGCAAAACCCAGAAGTTCCACATCTTATATCTGAATAACTTGCTGACAGCAGGAGAATGAGGCAAAATCACAATTGGTAATAGTGAGATTTAGCTTAATATTTACAATTTTTTCTGCAACAAGGAAAAAGGTTTCAGCCATGCAGTAAACATCCATTCCTAATAATGTATATGTTGCTACTTCAGGGAGACCTGAATATGCAAAACTAGGCACTTCAGAAATGCTTAAAATGCAGAAAGGTAGACAAACACTGTTTAAAGAACACAGTCAACTCGATGCTTTCAACATTTGAGCTCATGTTGCCATTATTTAAGCAGTTCATTAAACCCAATTTTTAACCAACTCCTGAGGGACTGCAAAAGGAACAGAAGTGTCACACAAACCCTGATATTCTCTTGTTGATGTTGTATTGTTCACATATATCTGATGCTAGCACGGTGAGTTGAGGCCCAACAATGCTGTCCAGTTTACGACAGAACTCCAGCGTAGGTGGAATCGAAGCTGGGTGGTGGGTAAAGAAAAGGGAGAGGTGAGTCTTCTCTCACAGCTGAAGGTACAGTTTCTGTAGCTGTTTTCTTTAAACATCAGTGAGAGTCCTGGGACAAATTTCTATCTTAATTATAACCTTATGGATGATTTTGGAAGTGTACTGCTAACTGAAGCAATATTCAGTCATTTTATTGTGTAAATTAAGTTATACTACTGGAACAAAAATCAAATTACTGATAAAAACCCTTGAGTAAAGAGACTCAAATAAGAAATTACTGCCAGTGTTTTTCAAGAGTAAACCAAGTTGCATGTAATAGCATTTTGTACTACGTTTTGCCAAAGAAGTGATGCTAATAGGTACTTACCATCAATCATAAAGCAGACAGCTGCACTCATGGCCTGGAACAAAAAAGTTAAAGCAAAAAAAGCCATTTACAACAGGTTACCTCAGCTACCTCAAATAAATGACAACACTTCAGTGAGGTCACATATGGTAAACCAGTTAAAAAAAAAAAACACCCTATTTTAAAGGTAACACTTCAATAGGATAATCTGTTATGATTTTGAAATTCAGCTCAGTTAACAGTTTTTAGGTTGCTAGAAATGCACTGTCTGCAAGAAGTTTGCATTTCATTTAAAAAAATGAAGTGCCTTTTTAATGATTATTCGTAATTTTTATTGATTAATGCTACATGAGGTATAAAACCACTTTAAGTAACGGAAGGCTGGTATTTTGTTTTAATGAAAAACCTGTTTGTTTTGGGGAGCGTGCAGGAGAGGGGAAAAGAGGATTCAGGCTTTAAATCTTGAGAAACAGCAAAGACTTTTCTGGTTTTCTGCTTTAATCTCGTATCAATGCATCTTTCTATACAATTAGTAAGTACTTCAGATCATTGTATACAGATTCCTAGTTATGTGGAATAACTGTAGAGAAAGAGGCAATACCTTATAAACAATTAAATGAAGCTCTTCATAAGTGTCATCAGTGTTAACAAATATTTTGGGGAAACGGCATTTTGCTTCTGGATCATTCAGATTTAAAGGTCCAGTAAGAAACCTAGAAAATAATTCAACAGGTCAGATGTGATCAATTTTTTATTGCAGTTTTCCCTATTTAACATACATAACGAAACTAGGAATACTTACATGTATGACTGTATTTTAATAGAGTGAGTTTTCAGCTATCCAGATAGGCATAGAACACTTAATATATTAACTCATATTTTTGCAGAAGTATTTGCATATATGCTCCAAAGAGTTACAGAAACAGGATCAGAAAACCAGAATAATGCTAAGGAAAGAAACCACTCAGGTCATCAAAATAACAACAAAACTCGTTACACATTCAAGTTGTGACTATCTTTAAAACACCTTTTTCTGTTGCTACTGGGAAAGCACTTTTCCTTTGCTATCCAACAGTACATTCACATCAGTTTTATGTAGAACAGCAGTGTATTAGAAGCACCTAAACTTGGGGGACACAGGGTGGAACAAGGAGTGTGTGCCAGTACCTTGATCCCAAAAGAATACAATAAATCAGGCAAGAGGAAATACCCTGATTAAAGAAAAATTTCCAAACCCACAATTACTCAAAATCACGTTGCACAGCTGCTCAGTACAGGATCCCCCACTCTGACAAGCTGAGCGCAGAGGAAAAGTAAATAGATAAATCCCTAGATTAAATCTACATCTTTGACTGAAGTGCCTGACTGAAAAGAAATGACTGGAACGGTTCCAAAACTTTGTACATGAAGTACAAGAACAATGGGGAAGAAAATAACTCTGCAGTAATGTTAATGACGGCTTTTCTCTCTTTTCCCCCTCCAGAGGTCAGTTTTACATTGCACCAACTACCATGTGACGCACTGGAATGACCTGTGTGGAATATGTACTCGTAACACATGTACTCATCCTTGAGGGAAGCAGCAGTAGATGGTGACAGTAAACAAGAGCTACCTTCCATAGTGTTGTAGATTTCCTGGCATTTCAGCACGTATTGGAGAATCTCTTCCTGCTAACTGAAGCAAAAAAGAACACAGAAGGAAAAACAGTTTAGAGGTATTTTCTGTTATATTTTGCATTTATTAAATTTTAAAACTTAGCTTATGGTGCTTCTTGATGAGGGAAGGGATAATTACTCCAAGTGGCCTTATGGCACTTCACGCTGCACTTTGCCATTAAGCCAAAGTGATTCATTTGCAGTCCTGAGCAGTCATCAGTAAACTCCCCATCACCATCTCTTATTCAAATAATGCTTACAACATGAATTGTGGGGATAAAGTGGAAATACTACTGAGTTTGGTAAAGTGGCCTGAAAGCAATACATCCCAGAATTCCTAAACTAAAGTTTAAGTGGGGGAGAGGGAAGGGTGGGGAAGATGCTTTTCTTTATTACTTTAACTTTAGTACTTTTAGTGGTGCTAGAGAAACAGAAAGAAAAGACAAAAAAGAAACAAAACCCAAATGAACAATAAGCTCCATGACTCTCCCCCAGCTTAACCCCATCCCAAAAAAAGAAACAACTACCACACCTCAGGCTCCATGTGCCTTGGAAACAGAGATGTTGTGAGATACTTGTACAAAATTCTCATGTCATCTTGTTCCAATCCACTCCTAGACCATCAGTGAGGGAAAGAAATAAGTCATGTTTGTGCTGCAGTTCAGATCACACATTTCCCTCTAACCAAAACAAAGAATACCAAACAAAGGTAGCAATGTTTCAGTGTCTCAGAAGATTAAATCCCAGAACATCAATTTTTAATGAAATGTTATTTGCTAAATACAAAACAAATAACTGTAAACCGGAAGAGAAATAGGAATAATATTTAAACAAACAAAAGATGACATTTGCTATCTTAAGTCCATCTTCAAGTAGAACTCTTCACAAGCACTGCAACTTTCTGGTTCAGAACCATTTAAAGAACAATCCCTTAATTAACCTTCTCTACTAAAAGGTGCTACAGAGGAAATTACGTGTATGTGCAGGGGCTCTTGCGATGAAGTTGACAAGGACACTTCTCTAGCTGCTCCCAAGCCCAACTGGCATGTAATCATTTGGTACAGGTCAGAGAATTTAAAGCTAGAGATCAATGCCTTTCTCACACACTCTTTTACTCATCCTACCATTCAGGATTCATCAGCTTTGCTTTATGGCACTTATTTGTAGGATGAGAAATCAAAGAAACACAAAAAAATTACTGAAGTACCTACCAGATAAGCTGGTCGTTATAGAGAAATGCAGTATACTTGACTATGCTCAGGCTTTCTTCCATCCTATTAATAAATGACTGAATTTTCAAGTAAGTCATTTTATCCAGTGGAAAGAAGCTGATTCCACAAAACACATCCAGCAGATCGCAAGACTGTAAATGCAGTGTCTGCAAGTACTGAGATAACAATGAGAGTTTTTTAGACTTCAGAAAATTTCCAATGTGTAGATTTAAATGACAAATTTGAGTCTAATCCCCAGTAATCTAGAAACCCTTTCCAGTTCTGCTTGTATGACATAAAACCTTTGTGTGGGGACATACCTTAGTAGGGCCTGTGGCGACAGGACAATAGGACAAGGGGTAATGGTTTTAAACTAAAAGAGGGGAGATTCAGAACAGATATAAGGAAGAACTGTTTTGTGATGAGGGTGGTGCAACGCTGGCACAGGTTGCCCAGAGAGGTAGTAGATGCGCCATCCCTGGAAACATTAAGCCAGGTTGGACAGGGCTCTGACCTGGTTGAAGATGCCCCTGCCCATGGCAATGTGCAAACCATTCTAGGATTCTACGTGTGAGTGTGTGAATATGATTCCAGCTGTCAGCTTGCTATTGTTTAGTCACAGTGATGACAGCTTTTAAATCTACCTCAAGGTCTTTTGAGAATATAAGAAAGCACAGCTTATCTTATGAATATTCAATTTCAGAAGTAACTCTGTAGAAATAAAAAGTCCATTAGCTTTCCATGTGCAAAGGAAAAGATAATTTCTATTACTCTCCTTCACAGACTGTAACCTTTACCAAGAGATTTCAAATGCACTCTCAAGTGCTATTGCTCTGTAAAAGATGAGTTATCCAATGGCTCCCTCTACAGTCATTTCACATTACCAAAAAACCCAAGTACTAAACTACTTATAAACAGTATCACAGATCTTTGTCACAGTTTATAATCTAAGTCTCATTTCTTTTCAGTTTCAGTGCAGTTCAAGCCTGCCAGGAACACACAGCTAATTCATTCCATAGGGTTGTAGCAGAACAACTTGCACAACCAAATTTTTAAAGCATTTCTAATTCCCCAGTGAAAAAAGAAACAACTGCTCCTTGGACTTCTTTCTGTTATACAAATTTATAGCCATTACTGTTTAATCTTCAGTAGGAACTTCCAAGAAATTTAATGTTTTAAAGATAAAAATCTATTCAGTTTTTGCCATGTCCTTTTTAATTTAGTGTAGACAGAAGTGTACACCAGTTAATCAAGTACTCCTGGTGCCAAATGTTCATTCTAAAGTCTACACCACTCTTACAAAAAAAAGGCAAAACCCCACAAGCAAAGCCTGTGCTGTTGTTTACACTGTCACAACACTGTGTTACTTTAAAAACCTCTTACAAGAACAAGATTTTAAACACCAGTATTATAGTGTCTATACTCCATCATTATCAGAGATACCAATATTCACATCTCTGCCACAAGAGAATTAACTGCTGACAGCAGTCCTCTGTTTCCATCCATACAAACAAGGAAAATGGGGGCAAGCAAGCAGACATCGGATGCTATCCTGTACAGCTTGATGAAACTCTTCAGATAGGAACTCCAAATTCTGCCAGACATGGCTATTCAGTTACTTTATGTGAAAAATGCCTGAATAATATTTGATTGATTTCTTGCTCAGAAATAGGTTTTGTTAACCATCCTTTCACTAACACATTAGCTTTTGAAGACTGAAATTAAAATCTGAAGACTAGTTACAACAAAGGCAGGATTTCCTAAAAGCTTATCAGCCATGACTACTAATTCCACATGGGGGGTGGAGAGAATAAGGGGGAAGTTAAAAATTACAGCTATCCATCACTTCACAGTTCTACAGGACTTAAGTCTGTGCGTGCAGGTTGTGGGATCTCCATCCCTGCATATTTCCACGACTCAACCAGCCAAATCCCTGTGCAGTCTACTTTGAATTCTGTGTTACCCTAACTTTGTGTAGAAGACTGAACTGGATAACTTCTCCATATGCCTTCCAACCTGAGTGATTCTGCAGCAGTTACTCTAGTAGGTCTGCACAGATTATCATCACATTTATAACCAGTTCAAATGTTAAAACAGCACTTTCAAAGAACAAGCATCATTCTTCAGAAAAAACATGCAACAGCTAACCTGTTCCATCAAGCCATAACCCTGTAGTTGTGTTTCAGCTCCACTTAAAGAACCTACTACATTAGTAGGAATCAGAAGTCTTTGAAAAAAAACAACCAGATTTGTTGTGTTGACACTATACTTTTTCCACTGCCTATGTTTTATACTCACACTACAGCCGCCTAAGAGATGTTTGCATTTTATTTCCAATGCAGAAATAGACTGTATGTGCCTGAAAAATAAGGTCTTACCCGATGGAAGAATTTCTCTAGTCTCTCCTTGAGAACTTTCACACCTCCATCTTCCATGGCTTTCAGAAATGTGCCATTGAAAAGCTATTTGTTAAAAGAGAAAAATTAGTCAGTTGATGAATCATTTACAGTAATTTAGCACTTGACCATGAATATAGCTAGATTACAATACAGCTCCCATTTCTCAATATCTGAACTCCACATAGATTCAAATGTACCCCTTCTTTATTGAAAAAAACATCTCTCAGATTTGCAGAGTCCAAATATGTATGGTAGCAGAGGCAACATGAGAGAAGGAAAAGAAACTTTTTGATGGTAGAGAAATTACTTATGTGGCTTAAGTATCTTATGTGCTTGTTTTGTAAAAGCTCAGATTCATGGCCTTTATCCAGTATTGTTTCTTCAACAGATAATATCTAATACCATCAAAATCAAATGCTTACTAGTGTAACTGCCCATAAAGAAGAAGTCTGGACTTTGCAGAAATGAGAAGGCTTCTATTTTTACAACAAGCTAATGAACTAGCACAAATAACTTTATTATTAAAGTACAAGACAAGCTTTATTATTCTCTTCCATCAACAGCATTACAGATGTTGTTCTCAGGAAGAGATGAGCTTGCACATCCAAATGGTACCACGAGGATCAATTCCTCTGCCCAGAAGAGGAGGCTGTAGTAATTAACTCTACCTTGTACATGCTGTAGCACTGCTGTAGGACCGAACTATACACCTTGTCCTGCAGAAAAGAGAGCAGGACATTAGTATAAGCAGAGGCAGAATTTCAAGTGTTTTGGCTGAGCTGAACATAATCTGTTTTCAAAGGGCCAGCAAATACATGAATTGGAGAAATCAATCTCCGAAATGTTAAACTGCATTTTCAGCCAGTGTCCAGAAATTTCTTTGTACTTATAAAATCCTATTTCAATAAAGGGAGTCCCTTTCCCCCTCTTTGATTTAATACCAAAAGCACCTTGTTAACTCATGCACAAGATACCAGTTACAAATACTGCCCTTCCCTAACACCAGTGGTCAGTGGAAACAGACTTATTTCTGACAGGTTTTCTCTTCATCCAGGCCAAAGGCTAAAGTTGGTGGGACACCACAGCAGGTTTTTATTGTGCTAGGATCTTAACCCAGATGAAAAAAGGACTATTTTATTGTTTGTCTGGCAAAATAGCGTGCCTATGACAGCAATCTTTTTTTAGAACACAACGAGGAACAGAACTAGTGCACGCTGTAATGAATGGAGGCAGCAGAAACATCGGCTTCAGCTATCATCCCACCTGACCAACTGCTTTTCCAGTATACAGTTAAGCTGGCCAGTATACAGTTAAGCTGATACTGTAGTTTGGACAAGAACTCCCAAGATAGTTGAGCTGTTTGTTTTTCCAGATTATTAGCAAAGATTACTAGCAGCCTTAAGAAGTAACATGTATACTTAAACCTACTAAAAATACACTGATTTTAGGTTGTTGGAAGAACTTTATTAAACAAACAGATCCTAATAATTAT